TCTCCTCACATCATGTTGTGAAGACAAATGTGGACACACCTCTATTTGTAGTTTTTCTCTGAATTTCATCTTAGGACAAATTACAAATATTTTTATCCTGTATTATATTTAGGAGAACCTTTTGTACAGCATGTCCAGCAGTTTTTGTCAGCTCTAGTAAAATGTCAGTCATATGCTTTGAATTCTAAAAAGAACACTTGTAGCTCCAGCAACTGGCAATGGCAAGAACCAATGAGCTTGAGTGAGGGTGGGGAATTGCAGGCTGGTCAGCCTCACCTCAGTCTCTGCCAAGGTGAACTAGTCCTGGAAGTCATTTCCCAGCATATGGAGGACTGAAAGTTGGTTGAGAGTGTCATCAGGGGTTTACGGTGGGGAATTTATGCCTGATCAATCTGAATGTCTTCCACAGTGAAATGACTGACCTGCTTAGTGAGGAATTAACAGAGGATGTCATTCACTTTGACTGTAGCAAGGCTTGCAGTAATGTTTCATGTAGCATCCTCATAGAAAATTAATGAAGTATGAGCTTTGTACAGAGCCAAAAACAGGGACAGAAAACTGGCAGAATTGGTGTGTTCTAGGTGTTGTGGTCAGGACCACAAAGTCCAGCTGGTGACTGATCACTGGTGATATTCCCATGGGGCTTCTTTCATGGCTTGGACTAAAGTGGGAGGAGCAGATGATGCATAGAATGATAGAATCATAGAATCCTTAGAGTTGGAAGGGACACTTAAGAGTCATTTAGTCTAATTCCCCTGCAGTGAGCAGGAATATGCACTGCTAGATCAGGTTGCCCAGGTTTGATCCAATCTCACCCTGTAAGTCTCCAGGGGTGGGGCATCATTCACATCTCTGAGCAAAGTGTTCCAGTGCCTCACCACCTTCACTGTAAAAGATTTGCCAGTCCCAACATCATCCTTTTTACCTTTCTTGAAAGTGCGTGTGATGTTGCTTTTTTTTCCAGTCATCAGGGACTTCACCTGATTGCCACAACTTTTCAAATGTCATTGAGAGTGTCTCGGTGACCACAACAGCTAATTCCCTTGGGACACTGGGATGAGTTGTGATGCATTCAGAGGGTCCTCAACAGACTGGAGAAATGGCAGTATCATGAAGTTCAACAAAGGGAAACTGGAAGTTCTGCACTTGGTAAGGAAGAATCCCATAATACAGGCAAGCGAATAGCAGCTTGGCAGAGAAGAACCTGGAAGTTGTGGTGCACGAGATGAACACGAGCCAGCAGAGTCCCCAGAGACAGCCTTAGTCACATCCTCTTCAGTTTAGAATCTGCAGTATTTCTGTTATAGAGGAGTCCTTATCCCCTGCAGCACTTGTAATGTTGGAGGCTCTGGGGAGAGAAGGAACACCTGGAATTACACATTTTTACAGGGGGGAAAAAAAAAAGCAACAACCAAATCAGGCACTGATTATGATGGCTGCAAATCTTCCTGCTGAGACATCAGCATCCCTGGAACATGACCCATGTTGTGTCTCTGTTCATATCTTGGGCACAAACAGTCCAAGGAACTCTCAAGCTAACCTTTTGACTGTAGCTCTGTGCTGAAGCCCCAGGGCTTTCATCTTTCTTCTCTCAGCTCATGGTGCACTGTAATGCTGAGGGAAAGGTACTGCTGTCCAGAGCAGTGCTTTCAAGCAGCTGATCAGCTGATCCCAAATGAGATTGAATCACAGAATCACAGAATCACAGAATCACAGAATCACAGAATTGTAGGGGTTGGAAGGGACCTCCAGAGATCATCGAGTCCAACCCCCTGCCAAAGCAGGTTCCCTACAGCAGGTCGCACAGGTCGGCATCCAGGCAGGTCTTGAACATCTCCAGAGGAGGAGACTCCACCACCTCCCTGGGCAGCCTGTTCCAGTGCTCCGTCACCTCACTGTAAAGAAGTTCTTGCTCACATTTGTGTGGAACTTCCTATGCTGCAGTTTCCAGCCGTTTCCCCTTGTCCTGTCTCCACTCACCACTGAAAACAGTCTGGCCTCGCCATTCTGCCCCCCACACCTCAGATATTTATAGACCTGGATCAGGTCCCCTCTCAGTCTTCTTTTCTCAAGGCTGAACAGACCCAGTTCACTCAGCCTTTCCTCATAGCAGAGATGCTCCAGGCCCTTCACCATCTTTGTGGCCCTCCCCTGGACTCTTTCCAAGAGATCCTTGTCTTTTTTGTACTGGGGAGCCCAGAACTGGACGCAGTGCTCCAGATGAGGTCTTACCAGGGCAGAGTAGAGGGGGAGGATCACCTCCCTCGACCTGCTGGCCACGCTCTTTTTAATGCACCCCAGGATGCCATTGGCCTTTTTGGCCACAAGAGCACACTGCTGGCTCATGGCCAACCTGTCGTCCACCAGGACACCCAGGTCCCTCTCCGCAGAGCTCCCCTCCAGCAGCTCATCCCCCAACCTGTACTGGTGCATGCAATTATTTCTCCCCACATGCAAGACTCTACACTTGCTTTTGTTAAACCTCATCCGGTTTTTTTCTGCCCAGCTCTCCAGCCTGTCCAGGTCTTGCTGAATGGCAACACAGCCTTCAGGCGTGTCAGCCAATCCTCCCAACTTGGTATCATCAGCAAACTTGCTGTGGGTGGCCACTATCCCCACATCAAGGTCACTGATGAAGATGTTGAACAAGACCGGACCCAGCACCGACCCCTGAGGAACACCGCTGGTTACAGGCCTCCAACCGGACTCTGCACCGCCAACAACGACCCTCTGCGCTCTGCCAGTCAGCCAGTTCTCAACCCAGGCTTGACAGAGGCTGGAGCCATCGTGACATTTGTTCCTCCAGATGAGAAGGCTGGGGTTTGAGAAAGGTGGGAGGCAAAAGGCAACATTATTTGCTTTCTAATGCAACATGTGTGAACGTGCTAACGTTTTGCCTCTGACAGAATGGGCTGCCCTTATCCCGAGAACACCACCAGCAATGTGTTCCTGGCATTTCTCTGTGTATGAATCTACTTACTGAACTGAACGATGGAAGCACCTCACAATGGGAAATACTCTGCTGCTTCTCTTTACAAGGAGAGTGGTTAGGCCCTGGAACGGGCTGCCCAGGGAGGTTGTGGATGCCCCGTCCTTGGATGTGTTTAAGGCCAGGTTGGACGGGGTCCTGGGCAACCTGATCTGAATGTGTGTGTTTGGTGGCCCTGCTAGGCAGGGGGGTTGGATCTACATGATCCTTGAGGTCCCTTCCAACCCGGGTGATTCTGTGATTCTGTGATTCTCCATTTAGAAGCAGTCAGGATGAGTACAGGTATGGTTAGGAAGAACCAGAGCCAACATGAAGCCGTGACCGCAACGCTGCTCTGCTCTGGCTTTCTTGTTCTGCTCAGCGGTGCCACCAGCTGGCAGGAGCGGATACAGCCACGGTGATCAGAAACAAAATATACCCAAGCAGAAGAGTGGTGACCGACAGCCAGACAAAGCTGCAGCAGCGGGGCTGCTAGATGGAGGCAGGCAGCAGTTTGAGTGCTGAAAGGGAGGACAGTGTGCACTGCCACAGGTCTTGTAGTGTATGGTAAATCGTGATGGACAGCAGACCAGCACAGACTCCAGGCCAAGGAATGCAACAGTTCTCTTGATTCCACCCCAGCAATGATGATGGCCACACACGTGCATGCTGAGCATGATCTGTGAGAAAGTGCTGAAGGATCATGGACTGTTCAGTCTGAGGAGTGAAAGCCACTGCCATAAAACAGTTAAAATGTCCATTGGGTAAAGAAATCACAGCAAAAAACAAACTCTTTCATCTGCACTGTGAATGGGAAAACAAGGGGACTCACAAGCCGGGCGATGTGGCCAGGTAGGCTAATGCTGAAATTAGTTGCTGAGAAAAGGTTTGGATAGCTTATTGCTGAGATCTGTTGCTGGACACATGCCTAGGAAAAAGCCTGTATGTATTGACAGTCCTGGGGCTTCCTGAGGTCCTCAGCCACTTCCAGTCCTTTTTTGTGTTTACTTTGTGGAGAACCAGATGTAGCTGTAAAGGACGTTGCCAGAACCATTTCTGTAGCTAAAAGTAATTGCCCCTTCACCCTCTCTGTTTCCTAAGGCTTAGGAGTAGAAACGCAAGCCTTATCCTGCAGGGGGCCCGTTCTGCACTGAGTAACAACCGTTCAGAGGAAACGTGACGATCCAAGGACAGCACACAGCTCACGAGCAGTTCATCTCCAGATTCCACACTGAGGGCTTGGCACGAGCCCATCCAAAGCCATGGCTGTGGCAGAGCGCAAGCCAGGAGCCACAAGCTGTCCTGCTACCAGTGTTTTCCAGCCTCATCCTGCCACCTGTTATCCACCGTGTCCTGCATGTATCCAGCACATGGGACTTTTTTTTCCTTTTGCTTCCCTCAAATCTCCAACAGTTTTGGTACAGGCTCAGTAGGTGACAGTATACACATCTTTTGACTTTTCTTTCTTTTTCAGGTAACCTCAAGCCTGAGGAACACTTACTACAGTATGACAGGAAGCAGAGATGGTTCTGCTGGAGGTATAGTCTCTTATACCTTGCATATAATGCCTCGGTCTTTCCATGAGAAACTACAGTAGGAACCAGCAGCTCATGGCAAGGCCAAGTGAGAGAAAAATGGGGATGCAGGAGGAGCATTTGGCACACAGTTCTAACTCCCAACATAGAACTTAGGATGTCCCGAGGACATTCCTCCCAAACCAGTCTTCCTTGTTCTAAGGAGGGAAGCTGAGACAGAGAAATAGGATGGCTGGACAGAGACCCTGCTCTCTTGAGCAATGAAAACATGGAGACAGATCTAGCTACAGATGCATCTCTGGAGCTCAAGATTTGCCTGTAAGCTTTAGTGCTATGCAGCCAACACTGGTCCATTCTATACTTAGAGGTACATGTATGGTCCAGTGCCTCTGAGGAGAAACTGTTGCTTCAGAGCAAATGAGGTACCAGAAGAAAAGAGAAAGGTGTTTTGAGGTCTGATAGTTGCAGCTCTGCCTTTACACATATCCTCTATGGAAGTAAGGACTGTTACTGCAGCCATACACAGAACGTGACTGATGTTTAAACTGTGGAAAAGGCTGAGAACCTGTCCTTGGGTGTCAGTGCAGTCACTGGTGAAGGGTGAGGGAACAAAATCAAAAAACTAATTCACTACTTCCTTTGAATCAGTCATGTTTGCATAAATGCCAGACTGCTAAAAGGACAAATGCAAGTCTGCTCACTGTCAAACTGCCTTTGGTTTACTTGTTATGGAAGGACTAGCAAAAAAAGGAAGCCATCAGCCAAGTCGACACACTATACAAATACATTTTATTTAGAGATACCCACAGTAAAATGCACAAATACATCTTGTTCACTGATTTTCAGGTCACACAACTTCAAGTATCAGAAAAACAAACTGCAGTTAATTACAGTTATCCGTAGAATGGAGCAGTAGTAGAAGATTCATCTGTCAGACTACATCATGGGTAATGATGCTCAGGTATTTAAAAAGTGCATGGGTCGTTGCCACATACACTGACTCAGTTTTTCAAAGAGCAATGTCTTTCTGGCATGTGAGCACAGTAACACGGTTAATATGGGATGGAAAATGAAGCTCTTGATTTGATCTGGAAATGTATTCCCCAAAAGCAAATTAAGAGCTGAGACTGAGGCATGGGAAGTAAGCTGTAAAAATCACCGTTACATACTCCATGTGGTTAAGCAACATAGAGGTGGCCTAAAATGATTGTTATTCTTATTCAGAAGACTCCTGAGCACTTGATTGTATTCAGCAAGCTGGCAGAAGAGCTATAATCAGAGATCCAAACTCTTGCATTCACACTGAGTTCTTTCACAACTGGAAACCTCAGTCCTCCCATTTCCAAAATCCTGTGTTCCACTTGCAAGCACATAACTGGATCACATATTGCTGTGTCTACTTTTGTATTCCCATACAGAGGAGAAAGTAGGAGGGGGTGCTGATTTGGGAGGAGCGGCATCGGTTTAAAGCTGTATTTAAGTCAGATGGAACCTGGTCTCTTTTCTCCAGTGTCTCTCCATAGCAAGGAAGTTCAGCAGCTTGCACTGCTCCATGCTCCCTTTTTGCTTTTAGATGAGGGAAGTGCTGTCTGGTGCTTGGGAGACACCAGCAGGGACTGTAATATGGAAGGTAGCACTTCAGAGCAAGGAACAAGAATCAAATCAGTCTTCAGTTAGAATCCTTGCATTACAAACAAGAGAGACTGACTTTTGCATTGTAATTCAGAGGCACATTTTATGCTGATGAACAGAACCCCCTGATAGCACTGCAACTTTCTGTGGATTATAAGACAAATCTCCTGTTGAAGCAATAAAAAACACCTCAATTACTCTGTTCTGATATTTTAGACTCCCGAACTGCTTCTTCACCTGTTCTGCCCAGAGATAGCATTCCATTTGTGTGTATGCAGCTGCTTCTCCTCCATAAAAATGGCTCCGGAGATCCTTGTTTCTGTGCACCTTGGAAGGAGACAAATAACACTGATACCTCATTGGGATGGGCCCCTGTACCAGGTTCAGGAGAGAGCTGAGAAGTCAGTAAGATTTTGCACTTTTGCAGTGAACCCCAAAATGAGAAGAATAATCGAAATAACCAGCAAGTCCTTCACAGCTGGCACTGAGTGAATTTGGAGCAAAGCCCTTCAGACTGAGAGGAGGATACCAGCCGGGGGAAACATCAGGGCTGCGTTACAGCAACATGCCCTGACTCAGCACACTGTTGTCCAAGCACAGACTCAAACTGCAGTAAGGCTTGGAGAGGCAGCCCCAAGCCTTGCAGGTCTGCTACCTGAGGATGCCATGAGACAGCAAAGAACTTGCTGGAGGCCAGAGGAGCAGCAACAAGGGAGCAGGGCTGAGACTGAGTACGGAGACAAAGTATTCTGAATAAGATGACGGCCCGTCAGAAGGTTCTCATCCTGGCCTTCTAGCACTATTCCTCACTGTAAGAGAAGGCCCAGCTAGTTTGGTACAGCCCTGCACACACAGCTGGTGCTGAATCAGCAACAGCCATGTGGATGGCTTCTGCTTAGCCCTTCTGCTCCATCCCAGCTGGAAGCACATGGAGGGGGCTGGTAGCAAAGCACAGTGCTCTAAATCATCATGAAAACGAAGAGACAAGCACACTGCATCATTGGGGAGAGAGAGAGTGAGTGGCTGATCAGAGGTTCTTTCCCATCTCATCTTCACACCTCATCTGCGGATAAGAGCAGTAGCTTTGCAAGTTCTGGGAGCAGCTCTATAGTGACATAAGCATAAAGAATGATGGACTAAAACCTCACAGCTTCCACTGCTCAAACACTGGCTCCTCTGAGTGCAGCAGCCTTGGGTATTACTGCTGGCCAAAGCTAATCTGCCTTTTAAGCACAGGGTTAGAGTTAACTCATCTTACAGCATGATTTTTTTCGTAATCCATTAAATGCACGCATGCAGAGAAAGGTTCTAGATGGGATTAAAAATCATCACAAAGTCACAGTGAAGCATCCTCCTGTCTTTCTGCTCAGAGGATCTTTAGCTGTGATGCTGACCGAAAAACCACAAATCAGTTTAAACAAGCGTTGCGCCAATGTTGGGCATCTCCATTTACTTCATGATTTGCTGACATCCACTGTACAGTACAGGTGTGAGAATTTCAGTCTCTGTAGACTTTGCAAGAGAGTGGAGCCTGCATATCTGAGTTGGCTAGACACTAACTGAAGTAAAAGGTAAAAGAACAGAGAGATCTTTGTACAGCGGGCCACAGGTTCCTCTCACCCTGAACTGGTATTTTCCAGGCCAGACAAGCAGCTTTGAAGACTGTTAGTTTGAATTAGGAAGAAATATGAGAAGAGGTCACTGAAGTTCACTAAATAAGCTGAAACCAAACTGTTCTACTGGAAATTGTGATAAAAATGAGGCTTTAATTTCAAAGAAACTCTAGAGTGAATAAACCTAAAAGAACTCCAGGTTAAATTCACACGGGGGCACAACCAGCTACAACTGGAAATGCACAAACCTTAGAGCTCTGTGACAATGTGTTAAGGTAAACAGGATGATGGCTAGTCACACTGCTTCTAAATACAAAGGTAGTCTCATGGATCAACAGAATTCAGTATTTCAGTTAGTTATGGATATAAGGGCTCATTTAAGGTGACAGGAAGCAAAGAAGTGCTCCAGTTACCATGCTTTTAGGATTAGATTAACTGGGAGTAGACATCTTGTATCAATCACATTCTATCTGCATAAAAGGCAGAAACCTAGCTCGAACTCCAGGTGTCATTTTACAAATAAAGATATAATTTGCCAATTTAGAAAATTAAGCCAGATGCATTACACCTTTGTCTTGGAAAACAAAAAATCTTACTTCAAAGAGGAAGAAATGTACAAGGAAACTCTGAACACTGAGGTCGATGAGCAGACAAGCTAGTAGTTCTTGCCTACTCTCAGCAGTTTCCCACTGCAAACTGCATCAATAACTTCAAACAGCTTCACAGTGCAGGTAAAAACACGCAGTATAACATTTGAAGAGAGCTGCTACTGCTGCCTTTGACAGCTTCTGTGATCGTTCAGAACGCAGTGCTGCTGGACGCAGCTCATGACAGAAACAAAAAGCTGAGAAAAGCTCTGCTGACAGAACTGCAGTTGTTAACGTCAGAAACTAGATACAGAACAAAAGCCAGCAAGTGCCAGCATGCCCTGATCTCCACCCCACCCTCCGAGCTTTGGAGCTTTAAGAAAAAAAAACAAACAAACAGTGATAATAGTTCACTGTAGGACATTCTACCTTCAGGCAACAAGTTGTGATCAGCACAGATTTTAAAACACCTCCTGCGGTTTGTGCATCATATGCATCACCTCACAGGTGATGGGGAAGACCCAGCATCTGTGTGCACGTTAACAAACAAGCAAGCACTGACAGAAGCCACGGTTAAGATTTATTCCAAGACAAACCAGTGCATTGATTTGTGCCAACACCAGGCCCTAAAACAGATGAAACAAGTCACAGAAAGTTAGGAGTACAAACCTGTTGCAACTTCAACACATCCATGTTAGAAAAAGACATTGCATGCACCCAGCCCTAAGATAGCAATGAGTTTGTGAGATAGATCAAGGTACCAGAAGAGAAAGGCACATGAACCTCTGGCTGGTCCATTTCAATATTATGTGGATGAGTCATAGTGATTTATACACCCTGAGTCTGTGGGAGGCCTTGAAAAGTACAAGTTTAATGAGATTAAAATTCAGCACCTGAGATTTCCCCGTTAACAAGGGAATCTAAAAAAGCAGATCCTAAAAATACCAAGAGTTGATTCCTAGATTTTTGTTCTGAGATCAAAGAACCAACATCCAGAACTAGAGACCTCCCACTGGATGCTGCAAGTGTTTTTATACATCTCTCTCCTGGTTTCAGTCTGATGGACAGAATTTGTGTGTAATCAAGTGTTTGATTTATTGGTTTCTTTTCCAGGCCAGAAGTGGTCAGGCAGCCTGCACTTTCCATTCCTCCGGTGCTGGAACCCTGTGTTGGGTCTGTGTGCACTCTTAGACTTTCTCACTCCCCACAGGATAGTGGAGGCTATAAGAAGATGGCACTTAATTTTTAATTGTAAAGATTCTTTTCTGTCAAGGGCTTTTTTTTTTTTTTTTTTAATTACAAGAAACCACATGATTTTGATAAACACAGCATAATAAGTAAAAAGATAATTTAATTTAAGTCCTTCAAAATTAACTTGGGAAAAAAAAAGAATGGAAGTGACATCTACCTGACCTCTTTGAAAACGTTTCCGATTAAGCCCTTTCACAGGCACCTCCTGAGCAATGAATACGCATCACCTCCCTGTTGTTAAACTCAAGTGTTCTGAGAGCAATAGCGAATGCTTATTTGGGCTTTTTCTTTTCTTGTGCCCTTCCTTGCCCCTCCGCACCACAATGAAGTGCAGAAGCAAGGGAAAGCACACACGAGATCCCTTCAGAAAAGATGTGGCTGCATTTCTGCTTTCCTTGTATGCAGCATGGACAAATCCCCGGTGTACGTGCTTTAGAGCCTTGAGAGAAGCTATGCAGGCATTGCAACACTCAGAAACTTATTTTAAGTGGAGGCCACGTCATGGGTTGCATCTGTAGGGTGACCAGCTGTGCACAGTGGGCAGTTTTCACTTGACTTCAAGCCAGAAAGGGTGCATACGGCTTGTGCAGCAGGAGCTATCAGAAGGTGAGCTCTGCCTGCACCACACAGCATTCCTGGGAATGAGCTGTACCCAAGGTGAGTGACTGAGTTATAGCAGCAATTGCAACAAAGCGATTAAGAACCTCTCAGACACCCTGGAAAAGTTGGTTTATGGAAAATAAAGGTATCAGACCTCTACAAACAGATCTCAGAGCTCCAGCCTAGCCTGCTGTAAGATGCTGCTGCATTGCTGAGATACAGGGACTGGTGGCCAATCTGTTCGTGGTTTCTTGCAATCAAACAAAAACGGGCAACCTCCACAAACAGTCTAGATAAGCCTGCTTTATTTCACATTTGCACCAGGTGAGGGAAACCCGTTCATCACAAGGTCAGTCCCTCTCAGCTGATGGGCAAAAAGACAGACACAAACCACCACTTAATATAGATGGAACACAACTTTAATTTTGTAACTCTGCAGCTGCAAGCTATATACAAAGCAAGTGCTCGAGTGAAGAAAGAGGTTGAAATTCTACAGAAGAGTAACTGATACACAATTATCTTAATCCTTAAAATACAAAAATGCTGCCAAAGACCTCAAACAGAGGCAGCACAAATATCCCCATAATGAAATTCAGAAGTCTCCCTCATTAAGGGAGTCACAAGAATCACTCACAATACAAATGTAACCTTTGTGGATAGACTAGATCTGGTCAGGTCTCTGGGCACTCTTTCAAAGTATTTTAAAATGGATCTATGTGGAAAATGAGCAATTGAGACTATGAACAAACATCTATTTACTATTCTTTGGTAATTTACTCACCTTGGACTAACACCAGTAGCACTGATGAAGGGACAAAACAATGGGCTCAATGCTTTACAACAGTCCCAGAAAACACCTTGAGAGAACAGTAGCACTTCTCCTTGGCTGACCTGACAGTACAACAGGGAAGGCTGGAGGAATGACCAGTTACAAGGTGTCTGTGAAGAGAGTGGGCATCACCCACAATGCTACGCTCAAGCTAACATCGCGTTGTAGCTTCAGCTTCCATGGGAATGTCTGTTTCTTAACACTTGATTGTTGTTTAGGGCTTGTTTCCCAGTACTGCGAACTGGGCATTACTGAACATAAAAGTCAATAGTTTGATTGCATGTGATTATAAACATGAAAA